TGGTTGATACACTTTCCGGCGATGAAATTCCAAAAAAGTGTAACGGCGGAAACAGAGCCGCAGGTAGGATGTCCTGAAGATCCGTTGATGGTTGGTGTCCCATTGGTGTAATATCATAAATCACCTCCCCACAAAGACACAAGAAAATGAATTAATTAGTCATTGAGTGTACATAACACCAATGATGGGGGCTTGGAATGCCCGGATACATACGTATGACATTGCATGTGTTATGGGAGCTCAGGATAGGGCTCGGGGTTGGTATTGCTTGCGTGAGTCTCATCTCATAGCATGACATAATTTATGACATTCAATCATAATAGACATATTTGAATGATTGTTGTATGTGACATTCCATATGCATTTAAGTTGAGAGGTATTCTCTATAAGAGTTACTCTATTGAGCGTTGGCTCACCCTTTATGGGAACATTTTTCAGGTGTCGCACAGGTGTCCATCGAAGGCAAGGCCATGGGCCCGCTTTGACTACAGAGCTGGTCTGTGGCTCTTATTTTGACATTGTAGTCGTTTGTTTATACTTACTTTTGACCTTGTATAATTTTTGTAGCAAACATTTGTTTATATTCACAAAGGCATGTATATGAGACTCTTTTAGGACATTTATTCTTTCACGAATTAATGTATGTACTGATGATGATTATGGTAGTATTCGAGACTATACAATTGTGAATAGATGGATAGACCCGGTGTGGTCGATATTGTACAGGTTGCATTTTTTTTTTGGTAGAGCTCCTTGTACAAAGGAGACTTTGCCCAAATTTTATTAAGTTATGGATCCCGAGAAATGGGGCATAACGGTGTGGTATCGAATTACACGATATCCACCAATATTTCGCGGGTCGATAGATGATCAATCGGATAATTATAAACACCCGGACTTTGGGGTGTCACATTGTCATTCTAATTCATCAAAGGATGAGATTCATATTGAGTCAATAAGTTTGGTGAATTGAGAGACGAAATTATTTGTATGGTAAAAATTAAATATTAAAGAAAATCACGTCCTTGTATTTAAATGGATTGATGACGTCCTTTTGAGGAAGCTTATAAGTTTTGTCCATGTCAAACTTTGCAGGTGGATTTAATTATCCGACATGACAAATAAGTTGAGTAGTAAGGTCTCAAGGAATAAAAAAAGTTAATTAAATATAATTATCAGTAATTTATTTAATTGATAGACATATGTAATCTTAAACGTGTGGAAATTATTAAACATTTAATAATAAAGAGATCGAATATAATTTTGAGATAAAACTTAGGAGATCAATTTCTAGTAGACAGAATTATTATTAATAGGTTGTAGGATGTTTGTTCTAAGTTGAGCAAAAAAATCCTTAGCCCATTGAAAGTCCGGTCTTTATTTTCCCTTAAAGTCTCTGTTGTAGCCTATATATAGACGTCTAGACTTTCTAATTCAACATCTATTATTTACTCACGTTTTTTAGAGAGGTTGAAAGAAAGAGTAAGAATTCAGAGGTCTTGGCAACCTACACTGCATCTAGATTCTGACGTTAGGGGATATACGACAGAAGATCGCGAGGTTCGTTGAGCTGTCATTCAGTTGCTCGTTGTTCTATTTGCGTTTATGCTGAGATGAGATTAATCCCGAGGGATCTTGAATGTAAACCTTAATTCTGCCTTGCAGGATTTTTAAGAAAAAAATTTTATATTCGATACATAGACGCTGTCAACGGCTCTTAGGATTTCTGTTCCAACAGTTGGCACCTGATTGGGCGTTGGCACTGTGCGCCTAGTTGGTGGTTTCTATTTTTTACACTCCTCTCTACGTGAGGGCTCAACTCACTTTGCTTTGATACCATCCTCAACATTCATGTATTTTTGGCTTTTGATAGTAATTCTAGCATGTTCTTTGGCAGACACTTCAAAACTGAAATCATAAGATTGGATGAGAGTAACCCTTCTGTGAAGAACACCATGATGATTGTGTCATCTGGTTCTTCAATTTGGAGGATTTTTTTTGTTAAAACGAGTGAAGTAACTTCTTAGACTTTCATTCTGCTCCTACTTGATGTTAAGCAAATGCGTGATAGGTTTCTAGTGTCAATGTCCCTCAATGAAGTAAAAGACGAAGGAATTGCTTAATTTAACGAAAGAGTCAATAAAAGCTGGGGTAAGTTTGGCAAACCATTGGTGAGTAGATCCCACAAGGGTGGTAGGAAAATTTTGCACATGACCTCGTCTGGCATGTTGTGAAGCTGCATCAAAGATTTATAGGTGTCAAGGTGGTCCAATGGATCTTTGGAGCCATCAAAAGCTTCCACGGTTGGCATCTTGAACTTTGGGGGGAGAGGGTAGTTGACCACATCAACTACGAATGGAGTGTTAGCGCGCCTCATAAGGTGTTCGACTGTTTCCGGTGCCCACGCCTTAATGGTGTTGAAGATGTCGCTTACCTGATTTTGCACCTCAATTTTTTCGTCTCATTGGTTAGGGACACCCTCTAAAGGACCATTACAGTGGCTTTTGTGGTCCATGTATTGATTTTTTCCCTTATCTTTATGAATAGGAGGGTCACCAGCGTGAGAGAACGAAGTCAGCACATGAGGAGGAGCATGGGCGTTGAGGAGGGATGCCCTGGCACTGCAAGGGGGCACCCTGGTGCTAGGTGCCTTGGCGATAGAGGCCCTGCTGAGGGGTGCATTGGCACCCTGGGCAGATTGTCTGGGGTGCTTCTCCTCTTAGGTGCTGGGGCGCAACTCCTTGAGGGTGTCTAACGAGCATCAACATGAGTATCTGCTAATTTTGGTTCACTAATAGCTGCATTGTCTTCAATAGTTGTTGTCTGACTACAAGATTTGCCTCAGCTATTGGGTTTGATGGTGGAGAAAGGACCTCGTCGGGACATTGTGGATCATTCTCTTCCGTTTGTTGATTTATGGACTTAGTCGTAATAGTCATAAAATGGTAAAAAAGTAGGAAAGGATAGAAAGACAGTAGAAAACTTAGTCGTTTCTCACCGACAACGGCAAACTAATGACGCACAAATTGATTTTGTGCACCACCTGTCAAGTAATTAATGTAGTAAATAAATAAGGAGAGTGTCAACACAAAGCAAAACACAATTTTAGTGGTTCGATCAAGATGACCTACTTCACTGTGGAGAGCTAGGATGACCTGGGTGTTTTATTGTTTCAAGAAGTGATGGGATGCTCAAGTGTGAGTAATAAGCGAGATACAAGATGTGAGAAATGCCCCCGTGTATAGACAGAACTTGCAATTTATAGGTGTTTCCTAACAGATTGAAGCGTCTTATCAATAACATAAAGACTAATTTGATGGAATTGGAGCCATCCTCGCAACAGGTGAGACAGTTGCTAAGAGGACGTGGAGATCTCCTCAAAACTAGGTCCCAGGATGGCGTGACAGACCTCCTCACTCTAGGATGACATGGATGAGAATCTAGGATGACGTTGTTGACTTATTTACTCCAAGATGACGTGACTGTCAGGGCTTTGGTGAGCTTGACTTGATCTGGGTCACTTCTGGGTCGAATCCACTGGACTTCATCTTGGCCGTGCCCACTATCCGAGTTAGGCCTTGGCTAGGCCGTACCCACTATCCAAGTTGGGCCATGGATCGAGCCCATCAGAGCAATGAAAGTTTTGTTCAAAAGAAAATTTTGGAGGCCGGTCTCCCTAGATGGACTTGTTTGGACTAAAGTCCATCAAGAAAACTTATTTGTTATGAAGTCTATTTTTTATTAATTTTATCATACTATTCATTCTCTTTAGAAGTGAAATAAAACTAAAAATTAAAAACTCATAAATCTTAGGAGTTTGACTAACATTAAAATATTTTCTCTCTCATATCTATCTATATCTATATATAAGTTAAGAGTTTGACTAACATTAAAATTTTTTCTCTCTCTTATCTATCTATATATAGGTTATATATATATATGTGTGTGTGTGTGTGTGTCTATATATATATTAACATTTAAACACAAAAAAATAGTAATATTTAAACATAAATAAAATTGAAACATTCAATATTAATATTTTTAAAAAATAACAACAGTAACATGTTCAACAAAAATAGTAATATGCTTAACAAAAACTATAACATACTTAACAATAATTATTTCTCTCAAATTCAAAAGTAAAAAATAGTATCATTCATATACAAAAAATAGTAATATTCAAAAAAAAAATAATAGTAACATTGAATATTAATATTTAGGAAAATAATAGTAGTAATATGGTCAATAAAAACAGTAACATACTCAAAAATAATAGTATATAAACAGTAACATAATAAAAAAAATAGTAGCATGAATTTGAATTTTACTATTTAAATTCATAGTAACTTTTTTTTTGTATTTGAATGTTACTATTTTTTTTAATGTTACTATTTATATATATCTAACCTATATATGAATATAGATAAATAAGATAGAGGAAAAATTTTAATATTAGTTAAACTCTTAACCTGGATATAGATAGATATGAGAGAGAAAATATTAATTTCTTTTCAAAGAAGGATATTTTTGAGATATAAAAAAAAATTGACTTAAGTCATTACATATAATTTTAAACATGGACTTAACTCCTTATAAGTTTCCTTATAGGATTTATCTCCAAACAAGTACATCTGAAAAAACTCATTTCTAATTTTCGCTTCAAAAAATTAGGGAAGAAAATTTTACATTAAAACCATCAAATCAATAACTTCTTTAAATGATCAGAACAATGAGCCGAACTTCTTTATTATATAAATTATTTTTGAACATGTAGAACAACCAATTTTTTATATTTGTGTACAAATATATATATATTAGTACAAGCACCTGGACATAGAAGACTTTCAAGACAAGAAATTTCGTGGCGACAATTATATAGCTACAGATTCTACACCTAACACGTCCCTCTGTTTACAAAAACTTGCCCTTTGATTATTTTTTCTGTCCCATCCTACCACCTGACCACCACCACCACAAGTACCACACGGCGAGAAACACTCCTAACCTATCCAAAGTCCGCCACCCACTCCAGTGACTCCACCACCAACATTTCCTCTCCAAAGTCCAAACCCAAGTATGTCTTTCCGAGCAAGACCAACAACCTCCACTCCGACGGTCGCCGATGATACCCCACCACCACTACCACCACCAATTCCTCCTTCCTTGTCCCAACGTGCCCTTGAAAGCACAGCCCACCTCGCCAACCTCCTCCCCACCGGAACCCTCCTAGCTTTCCAACTCCTCACTCCGATCTTCACCAACAACGGCTCCTGCGACGCCGCCACACGCCCCATGACTCTCATCCTCCTCCTAATCCTCGCCGCCGCCTCCTCTCTCGCCTGCTTCACCGACAGCATCAAGTCAACGGACGGCCAAGTGTTCTACGGCGTCGCCACCGTCAACGGGATGTGGCTGTTCGACTCTCCGGCGGCGGCTGCGGCGGAGCTTCCCGACCTCCGGAAGTACAGGCTTGCGTTTATTGATTTTGTTCATGGAGTTCTTTCGCTGATGGTGTTTGTGGCGGTGGCCCTAAGGGATAAGAATGTGGTGAGTTGCTTCTATCCTAGACCTGGACATGAAGCTCAGGAGGTATTGGATATAGTTCCGATCGGTATTGGACTGATTTGCAGCTTGTTGTTCGTGGTGTTTCCGACGAGAAGGCATGGGATTGGTTATCCAGTCACGACGGACACAAGTGGAACGGACAAGGACTAATTGTAAGATTTTATTTTATTTTTGGTTAATAACACTTTGATCCTTGAAATACACGTATTTTGTTAGTTTAGTCATTAAAATATTAATTTTATTAAATTATCCTTCCATAGATGGACTATTAAGTTTTTGACAAAGTAATCACATGTTAGACACGTGATACTGTCTGAAAGAATAACACATTATCACTTGCGTAAAAAAACTTAACAATTTATCTGATTAGGAATTAAAATGACATGAATTAAAATTCTAAAAATTAAATAGATAAAATTAATATAATAAAAATTAAACTGACAAAACAAACATATTTTAAAGATTAAAAGTGTTATATACTCTCTTTTATTTTTAATGATCATGAGTGTATGAGGTTGATTTACACGTACCTTAATTAATTGTAAGAGTTTTGAGAAGACTTATTTGTATTTTTTTTTTTTTGCTTCAATTACGAACTTTATAATAAGGACAAGTTATAGTGCAATCCCTTTAATTATGAACTTTTTTTCTTTGCCTATTGAATTATTAAAATTTTTACTTTCGCATCATAATTATTTAAATATTTTATTTTATACCAAAAATGTCCATGAGTTAGATTTAAGAGAAAAAAAAATTACATGGTGTAGAGAGGGCAAAAGGGTGATAATTTTGCATAAAATTTGTACCAAATATTAATCATTGGCCGATTAAAATTTAATAACTATAGTTAAAAGTTCATATTCAATGCGAGAAACATGAAAATTGAAAGAAGTTGTAGGGAAATATGAGATGATGACCATTATGGAGGGAGTCAAAGTATAAATTATTTTATTAATAATTGTAATTTGTTTTAACGAGGAGATAAGGGGCTGACTTGGGTATTCATCCGCAGAGGAGATGGAGAGAGAGTTTGACTTAGAGTGCCGTTCATGCGTAGTAAAAGTGGGCTGGATTTGGGTTTTACGTGGAATGAATTGTGAGCCTTTAAATTTAATTAGCTGAAATTATATGAGATCTGAACTATATATTAAAACTTTAATTAAATCGTAATCGTTCTTCGATTTTTCTAAATTGAGAGAGCTCATTTTAATTTGAGAAATTTGAAATGAGCTCTAGATTATACTTTGTTTTAACGAGGAAAAATCTTTTGTACCGAGATTAACTATACGAATTAAAGTCGCGAGGTTTATGATTTTTCTAATTTTTGATATTAGATAACTTGTTGGTGTAATTTTTTTTGGACTTTTTGTATTATGCACTCTAAAAGATTTTAAAATTTTTTATTTTATACTTTTAAAGATTAAATTTCTCTCATTGCATCCTTAATATATCAAAAGTGTTGCAATATGATTTTTTGTTAATTTCTGTTATTTTTTTCGTCAAAAATTAATCCATTGACACTGACGAAAAAACTATATATAAAGGATACTTTGCAAAAGCTTTGAAAAATTAAAGGTATAATTTTTAATTTTTAAGAGTACAAAATAAGAATCTTAAAATCTTTCAAAATTCAAAGTCCAATTCCCCCTCCCCCTTTTTTTTTGGTTATGGTATCGTTTCTTTGCATCTTTTACTTGCTTGTGATCCGAAAACTTCATCAATAAAGTTGTCACTTATAAAGTGGTTAGGATATATTTGTTTTTTTTTTTTTTGAAAAATCAATGTGTATGACAAACTTATGATTTGGATAATTTTTTTATTAAATGTGAACCTCACGTGACACTGTCACATAAAGGTGGCAAATGGGTAGATTGAATTGGGTTAAATTTGATTGGGCTAAAATAAATCCAATCTATTTTTTTACTCACGTAGTAAATGAGTTATAATGGGTTGAATTTTTAACGGGTTGGATTAAATCGATTAACTTATAAAATAATTAAAAATTTTAATAGATACATTAATACACCAAAATATACACACACATTAGTAGTACACCCAAAAACAAACATACACTAGTACACTAAAACACACACAAACTAATACACTAAAAATCTACACACTAATACACTAAAATACGTACACATATGCTAATACAAAAGCTAAAACATATTTAATAAAAAAAAATATACATGGGTCAGATCAATTGTGGGATGTGGGGTGATCCATAGGTTATGGGTCATGGGTCGATCTATGAATCATAGGTGGTGTATTAATGTGTGTGTGTTTTTGGTGTACTAGTGTGTATGTATTTTAGTGTATTTGTGTATATTTTTTAGTGTAATAGTGTGTGTATTTTTTAGTATGTTAGTATATTTATTTAATTTTATTACTTATGTTATTTAATAAAAACATAAATTTTCAAGCCAATGAATACCCATTTTGTAATCTGTATTAATCCGTTTAATTAAAATGAATCATATTATCCAATCCATTTAGAACTCATATTGATTAATATAAGTACCCAACCCATTTATTTATAAATAAATAAATTAAATTAATAAATAATAGATTAAAATTGTGACCTCTATTTTCACCCAAAACTCATCAAATATTGAAGAAAATATTCTAGTGCATGTGACACCTGGAATATGATGTCAACTCTAGAAAAGTCTAGTGACCTAGAAAATAAAAAAAACTGATAAAAATTATGGCATCTTCTAGCATATATAACTCCCACAACTAGAGGGAGACGTCACGTAAGAAGTTGGATTACTGTCACGTAAGAAGTTGTATTAGAGCTTATGAATATTTTAATAATTTTTTTTTTTTTTGATGAAAGACAGAGGTCATCGTTTATTCTGGTATTAGAGTTTTCACGATAGATAAATTTTTTATGACTTAATTTTAAGAAATTATCAAAATTTAAATTTATAACTCATTTTTATTACTATTAGACTTATAATTTTTTGGCAACTCATATTTTTCAGTGGCTTCTGACCCAAAAAAAAAAATAATAATAATTTCCAATGGCTCATCACAAATTGAAATAAACAATGTTATGGGACAATTGCCCATCAAATAAGTACTTCCGTGTTAGGTCCTGCTGGAATCTTTCTCCAATGTTCCAATACAACCTAAAGTACCCTTTCTATTTTTATTATAGGGTAATGTTATATTTATTAAATTTTTTTTACCAAATCTTTAACTTTATTTCTTTTTCTCTCTCTCTCTCTCACACACACACATGTGTGTATATATATACATATAGTAACATTAAAAAAATAGTAACATTCAAACACAAAAAATAGTATCATTTAAACACAAAAAAAAAAGTAACATTTAAAAAAAAATAATAATAACATTGAGTATTAATATTTATGAAAATAACAATAATAATATGCTCAACAAAAATGGTAAAATAAACAGTAAAATGCCCGACAAAAACAATAATATGCAAAAAAAAAAACAGTTATATGGTAAAAAAAAATAGTAAAATGGAACATTCAAAAACAAAAAAAATCATAACATTCAAAATCGAAAACAATAATATTTTAAAAAAATAAAAACATTCAATAACAAACAAAAAATATCTAAATAAAATAAAAAATAGTAACATTCAAAAACAAAAATAGTAACATTTAAACAAAAAAAAAATACTTCGACGAGTCCATATGAATCCATATGGAACTAAGAGTATATATATATATATATACACACACAGAGAGAGAGAGAGAGTACCAATTGTTCTTTGAATTTGAATTTTAAATTTATGTAAAAAAATTTAGTGGTATATCTTCATTGATAGTGAGTTAAGGCATAACAATTTGCAAGTTAATAAACTAATTTAAAGTTGTTTTCAAGTAAGAGTATTTTGGAATTAAAAAAAAATAGTGAACTTAACTACTTATTAGGAAGATTAAAAACGAATTTTTAATCAATTGAGTTTCTTTAATGAACTAAACTCATTATAAATCTTTTAAAAAATACTCAACCCCAATTTTTACTAAAAAATTTCAAAAAATAAACTTTTAAACACACACATACAAACATACTAAACTTAATCTCAAACACACAAGCCAAGACGAAAAATGGGCAATGTCAAACTTAAACAAAATGTCTAGAACTCGCCGCGGCTCAACATTGGCAATGCAAACTTAAACAAGATGTCTAAAACTCGTCGCGGCTCCTAACCAAACCAAAATCTTCTCACACAACGTTTTGAAAAACGTGACATATCAGTTGAATTCGTGAACACTTATCATCACTCTAGATCTAACAATTCCTAACCTCTATACGCTACATGGAATTGTAATTTTCAAAAAATTGTAGAACGACTTTCAGAAAAATTGTATTACAACCAAAATTAAGATAATTGAACATACCTATCAAAAAAGAAGAAGTAATCGAACATATTTCCTTAACCATTACCGGCCAAATAATCAAGGAAAACAGCATGGCCAAAAAATATCCGTTTAATGATTAAACAAGTGCTAAATTAAAATACATCCGATAACTTGTGCCAAAAGAGAATAAGTTCTTTACAGTTAAACTGTAAAGCAAGAGTTTATAGGTAGCCACTCATATACTGGCACACCATTTATTTTTAAATTTGATGATGCACAAATCGATATTGTGCAAAATTAACAGTCGAGTATATGTAAATTTGCAATTAATAAGTAGTAAATAAACAATCAATGATAAAACAGTAAATAATGAGTCAACACCAAGATATATAGTGATTCGGTCTGGGTGACCTATTTCATTCTCGGGAATGACAGCGGTGGTCGGAGTTTTTTATTAATGAATAAAGTCACCGAGAGAATATGCTCCGGGAGTATTACAATGCTTTGAGAGAGAGCAATGTGTGTAGAGAGATGTGTGAGGTCTCAAGGTCATAAGGTGATGCCCTCTATGTGAAGAGGGCTTACATTATATAGGTTTAGTAAGGCGGTGACGTGAGTGAGACGACTTCTACTATTTTGGTAAGTATAAATAAGGTAAGATTAGATTTCCGAACTGTTGTGATCGTGCAACAATTATGGTGAATAGTAAAGAATCAAACAATTAAGAAAGCAGGAGAAAATAACACACAGAGATTTACGTGATTCGGCAATGTGCCTACATCCACGAGAGCGAGCGGCCATTCTTTTCCATTATTGAAGTAGGGTTACATCTTAAGTATTTATATAACCCTAATATGGACGTATTTACAAAAATACCCCTGTACCGTACCGCGGGGCGTTGCCCCCGCACCCCCAACTAATCAGCGTTCCCTTTAAATAAATCCCGCAAGGCAGATGCCGTCGCGGGCTCCACTCCGCTACGCTCCGCCTGCTCCGGCATCTGCCTCTTTGCCATTATGCACATAACAAATATGAGCCACACATACTCTAACACGAACGTATCCCGATATTCTCTTCCTCATGCTCCTATTCCATCGAAAGAAAATCCTGAACTGGGTTGGACTTGAGTTAGAGTGGGATGAATTTGAGTTGAAGTGGCAAAGAGAAGAGGGCGAAGGGGAGGTAGGAGAACCAACACTTGGGTGGCGTCCCTTGGCCGGCGCCCCTTGATGACTTGGGCTATTCCTTTCGGGCTCTGATGATGTGGGCCATTTTTAATTTATCGAACCTGACCAGTTAATTTTGAGTTTATCAAAATCAAATACTACTGATCAGTCTTCAATTACTTGAACGAACTTCTTTAATTTTACCACAGTTGGCTTGGGTTTTATGAAGAGTATTTTTTACATGAGTTAACAATTATTGGATCTCACTTCACTAACTTATGGGTTAAAATAAACCAAAAGATAATAAAAAATTTAAACACAAAAGTTAGAGACTTACTGTCCCACTCCAACATAGATGAACAACGACTACTCTTCGTCTTCTCCAACTAAACTTTCAATGAGTTTTTCTGTTTGAATATTTCTCTTCATCTATCTCGTAAAATATGTCTTGGGTATTAATGTTTTTTCTACTTTTTATTTTATTTTATTTTTGGTGTGCCTTTTGATATAAATTTTGGGGCTCCAATCTCTCTCTCTCTCTCTCTCTCTCTCTCTCTCTCCTAAAAAATGAGAATGCATGATGGGCATTTTAAAATTGCCATTGCCATTAGTTTGGGGACACTGGATCATAAAGCAGCGAAAAAACAAAGATGAGCATTATTAAGTGGGTCTTTCTTTATTTACATTATTCGGTGGGTCCCTAATTTGGTTGTACAACCCACATGCATCCACTTATTTCTATGATAATTTTTTGATTGTACAGGTTCCAAGTAATAGGCCAATAAGCTCTTTAATCTGGTGTAAAAAATAAATTACATAAATGTAATTTGAAGTGCTTGTTGACCTGCTCTGTTTAATGTTTCGTCTGATAAGTTTTGAACAAATAATTTAAAATTCTCATAATTTGTTGTCCACGTAAGGCATTCCATTCCGTCCAAAAAATCTAATGGTTGCTAACAGTAGTAGGACTAAATTGCCAAAATTTTAGAGTTTAAGTATTCATTTGAACAGAAATTAATTTAAAGACTTAATTGACACAAGAATTATAATTTAAAGATCCTTTGTGTAGTTTACTTTAAATTCAAATGTACAATAAGGTTGAAAGATAGGCCACATGTTGGAATTCAAGAAAACTCAAATTCACGGCCAAGGTTAACTGGCTGGGATCCCCATATCGCCCGCTGTCGTTTATCACCAAGATCTCTCTCTCTCTCTCTCTCTCTCTCTCTCTTGTGTTGATTAATTGAAACAAGCAATGATGACATACACCTCAGTTTCTTCACAACATCAACGTACAAACATACAAAACTGAGAATTTTTCCACTTTCTACAGTACCAATCAACCATGTCTCTATCTCTCTGCTTCAGTCTCTTCACTTCCCACCCCCAAACTTACCCAAGAACAATTCCTCTCTTCAGACCCATTAAACCCGAATTTTCTACTCTTTCTAAGCTGTCAAAATCAAACCCACCTTCCATCAGATGTGTTCATGGAAAACCTGAACACCAATCTGTCTATCCAGCAAAACCCAGATGGGAAAATATGCTTGCCACTGCAGCAAGTCTGTACCCTGTCTATGTGACGGTTGGGGGGGTTGTTGCTTGCCTGAGACCATCCACTTTTTCATGGTTTGTGAAGAGAGGTCCTACTTCGTATAGCTTGTCACTTGGGTTCATTATGTTGGCAATGGGTCTCACATTGGAGCTTAGAGATTTTGTCAATTTGTTCATGCAAAAGCCTCTTGCAGTAAGTATTTTCAGTTGGGTAGACCCCCCATATGGTTGCAATTGGATTTTAAACTGCAATTTTGATACTTGATAAAGCTTAGAACAACGGTGCAATTTGTCCACCTTCTGACATTATCTTTGTGAATAGTGAATACATGTGAACAATTGACAATGTGGCTGTATAGAATGATTTATCAAAATTATTCTGGTCAGTTTCCTTTTCATTTATTGCACATTCTTTACTTTGTCCAATTTGCTATTCTGAGGAAGAACAAATGGTAATTATGTTTTTGAAGCAATTATTTGTTAGGTGATGGCATTGTTTTCAATCCATTTCTCTAACAGTTTATGCCAAGCCATTTGCTGCCATTTTTTTTGAAAACTTGTTGACAAATTCAGTGTTAAGTTTGGAAATACTGATATGAGAAGCTTGAAAGAAGAATTAAATCAATCCCCTCCCCCCGCCCCCTGAAAGTGTTGAAGAATTTGATGAGGAATATATAAGTATGTGCTTCTCCAAAAGGCTGTAGAAGCCTAATCTAGAACTCTAGTTCCCCAATTTCACTAGATTCTTATTTTTCACTTTTCTCAGATACTCTTTGGATGCTTTGCTCAGTACACAATCATGCCAGCTTCTGGAATGATAATTAGCAAATTTTTGGGTCTCTCACCCTCTCTTTCGGTTGGTTTAATATTGCTTGGTTGTTGCCCTGGAGGTACCGCCTCCAATGTGGTAAGAGTGGTTCTTTCTTGTCGTCTTCTTTGTATTCTTCCAACGTGGTCAGTTAAACATCTATAGAAACATGTTTACATAGTGAATGCTGAAGTTGTGGTATGCCTATTTTTTTTTCAGGGTGATATTCTTTTTTCTTTTATTCTTATATAGTTTCTGAGTTTTCTTTGTCCATAAATTCTCAGTATTGCAACTATCTTTAGTGCTTTATAGATTGATTGTTATTCTAGCGGAGTGTAGGTTTACACTGATCTTATGAATGATCCCCTATTTCTTTCATGGTTAAACTGGATCACTGGTCAAGTCTCTGCGAGGTAGCAAATGAAACAGGAGAACAGTTCTGGCTCTTATGTTTCATCAAGTGAACAGGACTGGCACATTCATCAGTCCCTAGTTTTGGTTTTCAGATGTGAAAGGTCATAATAGTATCTTTCAATATTTCATAGTGGTGGGTAACTTGTGAATAGTATATTCTGGGTATTTTACAATTTTTCTGGCTACTACAAGATCCTTTAATCCACAAAGAGTTGCTACTAAGAACCAGTGCTAGTCATTAAGAGATTAGATAAATATGTAACTAGTTTGATTGTTACTGTAATCAATGGTGCCTTAATGGATTGGAGCGTTAACTCACTGAAGTATTTGGCACAACCTGATTCCTATAATTTGGGGTCAGCTATTCTTGTGCTGTCTTAACAATTGTATAATGGGTGGTCTGAGAAAAATAGAAATGTGAGCATATAGGAGGCTATTAAAGGATAAAATGCATCAAACAATCATCTCTAAAGAACGCATTTGATTGCTGACTAGAACATCTTTTGAAATTGAAGGATTCCCCTAGATAAAAAGTTACTTCCACCTTCTTCATGGGTGATCACTTCCCTCAAGTAGTTATCGAGTAAAGTAGGATGCAAAATTTTGTGAGGATATTGTAATGTAGAAAACTTAAATCAACAGTCAGATCATTGTTTCAGGTACTGTAGATATTATTATATGCCTGCTTGCTCGTAGCCATGGTCCTTTGCTTTGTCAAATTCCATCTCCTTGCACTTTCTAATTAACCACTCTATTGGCTTGCTGACTTTGTCAGAGGAAAGGCCTCCATTGCACTTAACCAAATCCATCTAACTTGACTTCCTCTCATCTTGTGTTTAACATCATACAAATGAGTTTTTTTTTTTTCCCCATTGAGTCCGTTATAACAGTTCATTTCTAATTCCATTTTTCTATTCTTGCTGCCAAATCATGTTTAACATCTCATTTGACTCAAATTCAATAACACACAACTCTAAGCCAGTTGAATCCTTGTACTTAGGATTACCAAATTTTAGTTTCCTTAAAGGGCATGACTGACAACTCGTGTGCTCTATTGTTGGATAAACTGTTTCTTAAACATCCGACACATTGTACCGCAAAGCATCCACGACTGAGGACTGTCCTTCCGAACTTTTCTTTGTGTAATTCAACAGCTATTGTAAAGTTATATGCCACATGAATGGTAAATTTCTAAGGACTTCTTTTTATTTGCTTATTCCTTTTTGTGGTGAAGAAGGAATTGGAAATCTTATGACTTGGGCGGAGGCCTCTTACATATCATGTTTCCTGGCATTATTTAATGTCATTTTTATCTTATCAGTTATAGGAAATCATGTTTTGGTTCACCTGGAAACTTTGAAGCACTAGTGTATGTACAGAAATATTCAGAAATTTCCCATTCATTTCTCTTTCTGCGTAAAAGTGTTACAGGTGACTTTAATAGCTCGAGGGGATGTACCATTATCTATAGTAATGACAATATGCACCACTCTTGGAGCAGTGCTTCTAACCCCACTTTTGACCAAGATTCTAGCAGGAACATATGTTCCTGTGGATGCTGTTAAACTTTCCATCAGCACCTTGCAGGTGAGTTTAACTCTATATGAAACTTGTCACTCTTCAAAATGGAATAATGAAGATACATGCATGCATTTTGCGGGTAGTATGGTCTGACTTTTTTGCTGTTCAGGTGGTTGTTGCTCCCATTCTGCTCGGTTCTTATCTGCAGAGCACATTTCCTGAGGCTGTGAAAGTTGGGACACCTTTTGCACCACTACTTGCTGTCTTGGCTTCATCTCTGCTTGCATGCAGGTTTTAGTTTTGACATATGATTTCTTGATCTGAAAAATGGTACTTTTGGATACCTCTCTTCCTTCCTCATGTTGTCATTTCGGTAATCTCTCAGTGTATTCTCTGAAAATGTTGTTCGTTTGAAATCCTTAATGGATGGTGCGTCATTGTCACCTGACCTGTCTCCATTTGTTGGTGATCAAGCAATGCTCACGAGTGAACTGGGGGCTGTAATACTTTCTGTGCTGTTATTGCATTGCGCTGGTTTCTTAGTGGGGTAAGACTTGCCTGCTCTTCCATTTTTTACTGGTCTTAAAATTGATAGTTCCTGCTTTGTTCTTGAACATCTTGTTTCAGTCTGTAACAAACTATTTTAGGTTGACTACTTTTCCATATTTATGCTGGAAAGGTTTTTCATGTGATATTATGTTGACCACCAGTTATGAGTTTGTAAATTAATTAAACACACAACCATGTACTGACTACATTTAAGTGACCCAACAATTGATTCTTGAATTTGGATTTTTCTAGTTTGGATTGAGAAGTTTTTTGTCAGGTTGTTCTATAATGAGAGCACCGATTAGACCCAGTTGAGATAGTTTATCTGGATTACACTCCTGCCCCTTCTCTTGTGGTATATGGAATTATTATGATCTATAACCACACTTACGAGAGTGTAACATGCAATTTGGTCTTTCTGCAGGTATATATCAGCGGCTCTTGCTGGGTTTAGAGAACCACAACGACGAGCAATATCAATTGAGGTAATAATTAGTTGAATGTTTGTTAATCCTGAATTTGATCGGGCTCTTATCATTTGGCTTTAAGTCTGTCCAAACATTGATTACAATTGGTACAATTTTTTTTATGCTAAAACTTCTATGTGTAGATAAATCACTTGACGTTAAAGATGCAGGTTCATTGAAATCAAATCCTTTTAAGAGTTCTGCTAAAATATGAATCTTGCTTTGTGAGTTTGTGACTCTGGTTTGTCTAATGGCATAGATGGCGGTTGCACAAGCAGTAATTTTCCTTCTTTATTACTTCCTTGCAGGTTGGTATGCAAAATTCTTCTCTGGGTGTGGTTTTAGCTACCTCTCATTTCACCTCATCAATGGTTGCATTTCCCTCTGCAATGTCGGCCTTGATTATGAATATCGTGGGTAGCAGCTTGGGTCTTTTCTGGAGATATATTGATTCTTCTGATTCAAAGACAAGTTCTGAAGCTGATGAAAAGCAAGGATGATAAGTTGATGTTAAGTCTTTCTCATCGCCATTTGACATCTTGCATGTATTTAGTTTTTCAGTTTTCTGTGATGTCTGTTGGTGGGAAAAGGTTGTTAGATTGTGTAATTGGGTGAGTTCCACCTTGGTGATAATGGGTTAGCCAAATTGTAGGGTATCCATATGCCCATGCCATGCATCAAACTAATTGGGGGCAAAAATCCAGATAGGTCTCACAATATGTTGGATTTGAATTAGCCGGAATCTGAATCTGAGTCCAACCTAAAAAGTTGATCCGAACTGGATCCTATTATTTGACATTTTTTATGAATCCAACGTTGTATATGTGTATCATTAGAATATTTTTTTTTTCGTTCAATGGTCAGGGATGTTCGAACCAGTTTATGCGGATCTCAACTATTCTCCTTCCCGGTTCGGTCTGTACGTCGGAATTAAGTATACATGAGTGATAAATTTCTCATTACTTGGTCTAAATGGGTTGTCAAGATTCGAATTCAGGACGCTTGAATTTATAGTTCGTTTTTGTTATTTATTATTGTGGTTTTTTTAGGTTACTTTCACTCATCCTCTTGATGTAGAACAGATTGCAGGTGAATAGTTATCTTGATCTTGATCTAATGTTGTATTAAGTGGAGAGTTAATAGATGTACGTTAATATGTGAAACAAACATGTGCCCTTGCATTAATAACTAAACAAGAAAATAAAAAAACTATTACCTAGACATAATATTCAGTGATTAGACAAATTTTTACTTTGAAATAATCGAAGGTTTAAAATAAAAAAACATGGTCAAATTGTATTTTTACCCCCTCAATTACGACTCTTTTCTCGCATTATCCTTTAAAATTATCATGTTTTTTATGTTGCACCTTCATCGATGTTAGTAGGTTCACAATCTCTTGATGAGTGACTTACGTTAAAAATGTGACAAAAAAATTATTTCATTGTCTCTTAAACTTTGTGAGTTTGTTTCACTTTGTCCCAACGTGTTCGCATTTTTCGTCCAGAAGATAATGGTCGTTTTCTTTTGCTGGTGATGTGAATTTCGACGTGTAATTTCCCCTAAAAACAATTAGATAGTACAATAGTGTGGCTGTTAGAAACAATGTAGCAATGCCACAAGCTTGTGGAGATCTCACAAACCGCCATTTGTAGACAGTGTAAAGAGCTCAAGAATGCTTTGAATTGTCCGACATGAGTTCCCTTGTGCATTCTCTTTCATGTCTTCTTCTACCTATCGCAGTTTTTGAATGGGACATGAAGAACACATGCCTAAAGGTTATATTTATATTTTTGTCACTTGAAAATTTCAGGCTACTAATGTCAAACAGAACAGATTGCATTCGTTGCTGGCGTACAACCAAGTTTTTGACATGAATGGTTTGGCAACAGGAGGGAACATGAGTTTTTTGTGCTTTCAAGATTATTTGATGACACGTGTGACTAGGGTTTTTTTTTTTTCCCATATGGGTCGTGTTTGTGCTGGAGTCGCTGAGAGAAGTAAATGGTAATAAAATTTACCTAATTTTGCCAAAAATATATGAATTTGATTGTAAGACGTGTTTTACCAAATTATTTATCAAACATTACTTATGAAATGAATGTGAGTGATTGGATCAATAGGTTCAACTAGAAAAAATTAATAAGACATATTGATTTAACACGCCCACATTAATTTGTGAAGTAAAATAAAGTAAAAATTCTCATAAAAATAACAGTACTTAGGTAGGAAGAGTATTAATGTTAGCGGTTGATCAAATAGTTACCATTCTGTTGTTGGACTTTAAGGTCATGGATTCAAAGCGATCATCGTCCCCTCCCGATAATGTGCTGACCCAAAAAAAAAAAAGTTTGGGTTGAGTATTTTGTGGCTTTTTTCTTTTTGGGTAAATCTATTTTTAAATTATATTGGTTTCCAATGCATAAAAATTGGATGAAAAATCCATACACTCACTTGTCACGGCACTAAGGCCTCCTTACTATTATAGAAACAAAACATTTTCGGATTGCTATCTTCAAGTCTTGTGTATTAAACTGCTCGTTTGCATTTCGTTTGACATTTTAAATGGTCAAATGTTCAGGCAAACATGTCAGGCAGCTCTTCAACACTAGTTTCAAGAGATTTTCTAAAGTTAGAGAAATCTAATTTAGATGCACGTCAATTCAAGGTTGGCAAAATGAAGTATACCGATTTAACCTCATCTCTCGAGCACGATTCGATCGATAAGAAGGATAATTTTGTGCACAAAATTTCTATTATGACAATATCTAATGTACACAATGATTATAAAAAAGAAGGGTTGAAATCAGCGAATCAAGACGTGTGTCAAAGACTTGACTTGTTCAAAAATATCTCTTTCCAAAAGCTCTCCAAATCATAGGCAAATCAAATGAGGAAGAATCACAAGCTATTAGAAGAACTCCATCCATCCCTTTGATTCCTCCAAAGTTTGGTGGTGCTTCTCGGCCTCCTTCTTTCTCGGAGGGAGAATTATTTCTCATGGTTAAGTAAGCACATGCGGGTATATTCTCATTGAAATAAATTTTAATAATCTAAAACATTTCTTTTCCATTACTAACTTCTTGTTATATATATAGGCACGATATGGAACTTCCAACTTCATCCGATGCTAAATCCTCGGCAGCCCAACTCACAATTTTCTATGGAGGGACCATAAATGTGTACGATAAAGTTACAATTGATAAGGTAATTAAATACAAATCGGGATTTATGAATTTAACATTTTTTTTGTAATTTTTAATAAAAATTGAGGTAGTACATGATGATGTTCATAGTTGGTGATGGAAGAAACTATTTCCAAATAGAGTATTTCCAAACTTTGATCCCCTCAATCATGACTCTGATTTATTGGCTGAAACTTAAACATCTATTTTGTTGTAAATCGAAAATATCCATATGTGTTGTAAAATATGCATTCTTAATATTTAAAGTTGGGGTAATGTGAAACCAATAATTACATTTGAAGATCTAATGTGAGAAATGAACCAGTGAGAGACCAATAAAATAGTTGGAGATGTAGTGCGAGAAATCAAATAGTTAAAGGGGCACTGTGAGAAATGAAGTATAATTGTTGGGGTCAAAGTGTGATTTTCCCTTTCTTTCTTTCCCTTTTTCTTTTGTGAAAAATGACACTTCACACCCTGAAAGAACTTTAAATTTCTAATTTACTCTCTAAAAATTTAAAATTCTCACATTACACCCTTATTAGGTAAAAATATAGCAATGTGGTATGTTTTAGTAAAATTGAGTACAAATTTTTCTATAAAATAGTTAAAATTGAGTAAGATGCAAATTATCATGTATAGAAACAGGAAAATAACCTGTCGAAAAAAGTAACGAACATTTTGATTTTGGACCACATTGTTACTTTTTTATTTGATTGAGGGTGTAATTTGAAAAAATTTTAATCTTTGAAGCATAAATTAGAAATTTGAAGGTTTTTCAAGGTGCAAAATATCATTCACATTCTTGTTTTTGACTGTGATTGGGGTGGATTTGCAAGGTTGCCAAACTTACGGTCTCTCCTTCTTCTTCAAAATGAAACAGGCCCAAGCTATTATGCTGCTAGCTGGTGAAAACTCCTTGTCAGCCCCTGTTGTGGAAAGTGTACCAACAATAGATATGACAAAAGTTACAAAACCAGTTCAGCCATCCAATTTCCCTCAATTTGCAAGTTACAAGCAGGTACCCTCTTAGACTAATCTTTCCAAATATTGTATTAGTGTGTCATTAAATTTGAAAAAAAAAAAAGTATATTATTAAATTTAGAACCGATATGTTAATTCTTAAATATTGCTCTATTCTCTCAGACATTCCAATTGCAAGAAAGTATTCCCTCCAACGATTTTTAGAAAAACGTCGTGACAGGTAATATCTCATCTTCTGAAATTCTTGTTATTATACTAACGTGATTTCACCATTTTTGTCTATTTTTACATACACTTAAATCTAGTCTTGTGATTCAAGCACTTTAAATGGAAAAAAAGAAAAGAAAAGAAAGATATTGGTGTTTGTCATAACTTGTTTGAAGTACTTTTAAATTAGTAGTTTTTTCCACTTAAATTGGTCCATAAGTTGAAGCTTCTACTTTCTTATAAGCATTTCTACATAAAACATTTTTCTGTAATCCACTACTACCACGACCTATCATCACCACGCCAAGATGACCAGTGCCAACACCACCGCCGCCACTATTTCCATCCCTCTAGCACCACTACTATCCCATGACCATCAATACCGTTTCCACCATTGTGTTCATCAACATCACCACCACCTTCATTGCTAGAATCCTTATATATTATAGTAAAAATATATATGTAAGTGTATAATTACTTTAGCAAATATTTGTATTGACCATCCAAGCACTCTTTTTAAAAGCGTTTTTCTTTTAAGTATTTTTTGTGAATTTCAAAACAGTGTTTATCTTGTAAAGTATTTAGTTATTAAATAATTATTTAAAAAAATATTCTTTTAAATTTTCACCAAAGTCATTCCAAACGTTACCTAAAATGTTTACGCATGTAATGCAGGAAAGTAGACAACTCTCCTTATGCCCCTTCAACCATTCCACAACCTAATAATGATGAGCCAACTTCAAGTGATGGCCTAAATGATCAGAGAAGCTTCTCTCCATTGCCGTTCCCTTCACGGGGACCCTTCTTTCCCATAGCAGCAAACAAGGGTTGTTAAATTGAAGGAGATAAGTCCAGGTTTTTAGATGCAAAAGTGATATCTCACTTGAGTTTCTCATGCAAGTTATTGAAACAAGGGTTTGAGAAAAAGATACGTTTTCTTTTTTCGATTTTTATGTTCTTATCTTTATGTCACAACGTTACTAGAAAAGCATTTCTATTCACTAATGGTGACCTAATCTCACATTATGGATCGTGAAAGATGCCTTGTACGTGAGTTTTGTATTTTTATTCTAAAACAATCAATATTATAGTGTGAATCCAAGACGTTATGACCATTAAGGATAGTTGCCATCACTAGTCATCTTGTTTAACCAATCGTATAAGACATGAACATGAAGTCAATCCAATGTGCATAACCTTACCAAAACCTTCTTCTAATCACTAAAAAATCATGCCATTTCACAATTCGAAACAAATTGGAACTTGGCAACTCTCCATTTACCAACCAATTTTCTTCATAAACTTGACATTCTATCACCTAACATGTTAAACTATAGAGTAAACTATACAAATGATCCTTAAATTATGTTATATATCTGTGTCAATTAAACCCCTAAATTAACTAATTTTTGTATTAATTCAGTCCCCCAACGTTGTAATGTGACTCAATTTGACTCATCTATTCAAATTTACCATTAACTTTGACGAAAAGTTTCACGTACACAACATGTATATGGTATTAACTTCCTTAATCCATAATTCACATGAAGTGCACATAAAGCTTTGCATCAAAGTTAAGGATTTAGACGGAAAGATCACATTAGGTTAAATTCTATAGTTGAGGAACTAAATTGACCAAAAAAATTAATTCAACGGCTTAATTGACACAAATAACATAATTTAGTGGTCACCTGTGCAGTTAAGTCTAAACTATATTTGAAAGTTGGCTCTAGTGTGAGTTAAATCTTCTCCTAACTAAATACACACTTGATGAGGCGGGTCAAATTGGACAATTTTTTTTATTTTTTTATTTTCCGAATGACAATGCAATCAAGTGGGAAAGAAGAGTAATCCCTCTAATTGAATCAATTTATGTCAAATGTGACATAATACTACAATTGATTAAATGCTAAAATAACATTTTAAGGGAAAGGGAGATGTTTCGGCTCGTCACGACTAATTAAACAAATAATGGACACACTCTTTGAATAAATCAATGTCAGAATGGACAGTGTTGATCTGATGTGGCCTGGGTAGGGCTTGTTGCTCGTTCAAAATGAATTATTTCGAGAACTTGCCCATGGTACGGGCAAAAAAAAATTGGTATCGACATTAAAATTTATTATTTTAGTGGATATTTTTTATAATTTTTGTGAGTTATTTTATAATAAAAAAATAAACACTTTTGTGGGTCTTTTTGCAAGGATGAATTACTCTTTATCTCCTTAAACTATTACTTTTATTCTATTTTATATTTTCAACTATAAAATTTCTCACATTGTATTATTAGAAATCCCAATAATATCAATTAAGCTTTAAAAATAATAAATGTATTTTTTATATGTAGGATGGGTGTCCTTAACTAATGATAAATCATTCACTACCATATTTGGGTGAAATGTAGGATTAAAATTGTATCATTGTAAAAATTTTGGATGCCCAAATGGAATTATCCCATTGAACTTTGGAGAGACAACTATGTTTTGCCATGCGACATGAGCAGTGCATTAAAATCATAACTTCTTCTTCTAATAACTTGGAACACAAACGACTTAATAAAATTCAATTGAAGTGATATATATAATGAAATAAATGATAGAAAAAATATTACCAAGTGCGAATGTCCTACCTAAATTTGAGTTACCAACTACTTTTCACTTCTTGATCTTCATTTCTTTAGCGATAGACAACCCTATCGCTAAGGCCTCATATTCTAATTCGATTTAAACGATAAAGATGTTGACTCTCCTTTTGGTGATTTAAAAACTATTTCTGCACCACCTTCTTTCGTTGGTTGTGGATGATTCATCAAAGTAAAAAGTTTATTGCCCATCTTCTATTGTTGTAATTTGTTCTATCTCGCCATGAGTTTCTTCAAAAAGCTTGATAGGGTCTTTTGATGGGCCAGTAGATCTAAAAAAACTTACTCCTTTATCGCTTTGGGAGTGACACATTCTATGTCTAACAACCATCGTGTTGTCCTTCCTGATAAGATTAGCCCCCACAACCAACTTTCTCTTGTATGCTAGCATATAATGTCTTCATTTTTGGGCTACATATAAGTATGTAAGCGCGACATTTAAGGAGAAACTATAATACGATCCAAGCGCTCCTTGTACTTCTTGCGATCCAAGCACTCCTTGTATAGCACAAGCATCAACATTCTACAAAAAAATTTATATAATTGCAAAAAGTTAGATATAAATATAGTAAGCAATCAGATTATAAAAGTACACATTTGATAGGGTCGGCTCAATAGCAAAGCCAATAAAGTCTTTGCCTCAAGTCTCACCCTCCCTCGTGGAAGACCCCAAAATATTTAGGTATGTAATTGACCCAAATAAAAAGTCTAAAAACTTTAAAAACATAAGGCCCACAAAAAACTCTGAAAGTTAAGTCCACAAATAAATTGAGTAGTTTAGACCATGTATCCAGCCCATTAAATATGTAAAAAAAAACTCCATAAACTTATAAGTTTTAAAAAAAAAATAATGCTACGTGGACTTAAAAATTAGATTTGATAATCTCAATCATTGAATAGGTAGTGGGTCCCAATAAATACTGGGATCCACAGTGAAATCAATGGTTGAAATTATCGAGTCTAGTTTATAAGTCTATTTTTTAAGTTCATGTAATTACTCTTTAAAAAAAAGTATGTCAATAAAAAATCTACCAAAAGGTCAATAACCCAATTCTTAACCACTTACTCTCTGTCTTTCTCTCTCCCCCTCTCCTATAACACAGTCATTGCATTAAACAGTTTTCTGTAGATCTAACACTACCGAATAAAACCCTCTTACTTTTGTAAGCACCAATTTATTCAATTTTGATCGTTTAGATTTGCTTTTAGTGTTAAATATTTTTCAAAAAAGAAACATATGCTCTAATCGAGATATTAAATTATTTAAAAAGATTAATTTTTTTTTCAAATGCATTCATTATTTATCAAATATTTTTGACAGTTTTTATAACAACTGCTTTTGCAGAATAAAATTGTTTTAAATGAAATTAATAAAATTCTATTAAAGATCGACTATACCACAAAAAAATTAAATAAATAAATAAATATATATATATATATATAGAAAGAGAGCTTAAATCCTTGATCTCAAAAAAGTAAAACCTTCACAAGGTAAGATAAGGAATTCTATTGGACCAAAGACCCATTGATAAAGGAGGAAGCATAAATAAGAAAAATTAAATAAATTTGCGATTATAATAGCAAAACCTCATAAAAATTTAAGAAATACTTTTACATCACAAAAAACGAAAAGAACGCATATTAGATGATATTATATTAATATTAGAAAGTAAAAATGCATCATTTATATTTGCGTTTTAGGCCCCGAATTGTCTAGGGTTGCCCCTGACTTTTGATACGATATTACCTCCATCTCATAACAAATAATGCATGAGAGTCATGATTTGAAAGAATTGAATTCTTCTTATTTTTCTGTTCCACCTTATCTCGCAATGCATTTTCATATTGTTCAGCAAATTATTTCAAGATTGTTTTGGAATTTAAATACCCATCAAAGAATGCATGCATGCTTTCACTTTGTTGTGTAGTTGATATTTCTGCCCAAAAAATATTTTTCACAAATGTAGGCACCCAACATTCTTTATCCTCATAAAACCTAGTTAACCATTCATTACTTTCAAGATTGTATTGCGCAATGAATCTGCACCAATTGTCTTTAAATTCTTCTCTTGTTAATGAATCATAAACAACATTTTGCATAAAGAACTTCATTGACTCATATTGATTGTACCCTTTCAACTTTTTAGACAGTTTTTTTTGCATGATATGTCATAAGGCATTAGGAAACACAATTTGTATGACGTTTTTGCATGACATTGTCTTGATCTGTAATTATTGCATTGTGAGAATACCCAAACATGTATTAAATCAAGACTAAAATAGACATGTAAACGTCTCTTTGTCTTCACTTGATATAAGACAATTGTGTATGGAAATAGAACAATTGTGTATGGAG